GCAGTGTTGGCAGTGGCCAGTGGTGGCGGCAAGCAGTGACCACCTGCAGGTGCCACTGACACTGTCGGTGGCACCTTTTCGTAGGGTGTGAATCTCCTACGCATCGTCGATGATTGTTTTGTTACTTTTCTGTAGTAAAAAAATGAGTGAAAATGAAGAGCTGGTATCTTTCAAGGGGTGCATTGAGTCTGCAAAGGTTGAGAATCACTGTGCTCTACCTCTAAGATTAATAAGTATATAATATGATCCCTGTATTTCAGATAGAGGATATGAGGCAGAGTGGTTAAATGGCTAATTGAAGGCCACAGAGAGTATGTGTGTCAGAGAAAGAATTAAAACGTAGGCGATCTAGGCTCCTCTTGCTATGCTCAGACAAATTGATCTCTCTCCAGGTTAAATCCTGTTCCTACTGGAGTCAATAGCAAAACTCTTAAAAAATACAGCTGTGCAAGACCAGGCCCTTAGTTATTGAGGGATTCTGTTGACATTGGATGAAAGGATTCTTTCTAAAAGCAAAGAAAAGGATAAATGCTCCAGGAAAATCTCAGCATTAATGCAATACATGTAGACTCCAACTATAACAACAGATTAAAGCCTGCAATTACATAATATTCATCAGCTTCAACAAAAGTTCCATTACATAAGAAATATATTTTAGGGAACAAAAGACATGCTGTAAGGAACTATTCCACACTGGCAGGTGAATGATTACTTATTAGGTCTTTTCAATCACACAGTTCTCTATAATGCTTAGAATAAAGCCAGGAAAGAAAAACATTTATGAAACACTGCCATTATCTTCTCCAGTAATGTGCTATAACCAAAAAGAAGGGCTAGAAACTCTACTTTTCATATTCAGTTCAGCAAAGAGGAGGTATAGTCTGAGACTGTTCTCACTAGTTTGCAGGTTGTCATAAGGAATCATCTAAGTGAGGTTCCTGGATAAATCTGATTATTGTTTAGGAGAGAGGGTTTTTTTCATTGTTTGAAATTCTCCTTCCTGCTAGCTGAGGCAATAAAAAAGACAAGGCATTGTAGAACAAGATGTCAGCTTGTGTAATAAAACAGGAAGCCTGCTGCTGTATTTTAAAGCAAATTGTTGCCATACTCTGTGACTTTTCCATGGTTCACCCTATGTAGCTATGGGCACTTGTGGAAGAGGAATAGAGGTCTGGAAGCTGTCATACACTCAGGTGGAATAATGTCAGGCACAGACAAACTGCTCTGACTTTGTGAAATTTTTCACTCCCTCTGCGCATAGCTAAGTAACAAAGCACAAATTAGTAATATATAGTTCTCCTACCTGCATTGTAATATATTACAGGATAACTGTCAGCAGGTGCAGCACTGGGAAAGTAATAATGACAATCAGGATCAGCTGACTTGATTTTACTTGCAGTGAGACTTGAAACGGATATGCTTTACATTAATAATATGATTAGGAACACATTTCCATGAGCAGTGTGACATTCTTTTCGTTGAAGTCTCAAGCATCCATTTTTGAGATAAAGGCTTAATGCACCAGTGACTTTCTGCAGCTTTTCTGTTGGGAAACATTTGACTATGCTTTTGCATTTATCCTGCTTATCTCATGGCAGTGTTACCAATTTACTGTGTAGATATTTATATTTGGGTCTTCCTTAGACAAATTGTGTGGATGTTACAGGAGAGGTGTGACAAGGTGACTTGTCAGGTTTAGCCCCAAGTGAAGGAAAATAAAAGCACACATGTCACATGATAACCATGTGACTGAAATCCAGGTTCGCTGGGATTTGTGAGCAGCTTGTGATGAGACAGAAGAACTGGTAGAAGACTTGGGAAATGTGAACTCAAGAATTAGTGCTAGGTGAAGAATGAAAGCTGTTCAGTAAGGTTATGTCTATACCACTTCTCTCTTGACTGGGAAGTAAAGCTTAGTCAGTCACTGCTGCTGGGGGATACCCAAAGCCTGCAATTAGACAATGCAAATGCTAATGAGTGACGCTGAGCTTTTTTGAGGGCATGAGTGCAGACCTGCTTCAGCCCTATTTTGCAGTTTTATATTGCCTAATTGCAGGTATTAGATGTGACCCACTGGGAACAAGTGGGCACAACTAACTTCCCCAGGAGCAGATGTGGGTTCAGGAGAGAAATGGTATAGTTATGGCTTTAAAAGCCATGGAGACTATAGTCTGTGTTAGTCAGGGGAGTTGCTTTGTTTTGATACTATTTATGAGGCTTGTGCTGGAACAATAAATTGTGCCCCGAGGTAAATAAAGCCTTGAAGTTTTTTACTAGTTCCTTTTAGGGTTGGTAAGAAAGCCACCGGCCCAGGAACCTAAATGGGAGATGAGAAGAGTTAGCAAGTTTTACAGGATGCACGTCTAAATGTTTTGCAGAATTTTGGAAAATCACAACTTGTTTTATCAAACATAAGATCTCCATTTGGATATTGGAAGGTTTAAATCTTTATCATTTTCCTTCATAGTTGAAGGAGCCCTCATTTCATCTCATGAGTGAGATAATGGGTTTTCCTGTTCAAGAATAGGAATGTAATGTCAGGAATATTGCCTTTGTAGGTCTCCTTTGTCTATAAAATTATAAATCCCCTATTCTAAAGACATTAATGAAGTGATTCTCAGCCATGGTACCATGAAGTCCTTTCAAGGGTGCTGTGGAGTGCAACACAATGTTAGCACTGGTAGGTGTGCAAACACATATTCATGCTTTACAAGATAAACCCCAGATAGGAATCCATTGTGTCAAAAATATTCTGACCTGTTGTGGTCTTTGAGTTCTTTGCCGCAGAAGAACTTCTCTTTAATTTTTCTGTAGTCAAAAAAAGAAGTGAAAGCTAAGAGCTGACATTTTTCAAGTAGTGCCTTGAGTCTAAAAAGGTTGAAAACCACTGCGTTAATGTATATTTCCAAAGGCTGCAGTAGCTCTAAGTGATTGCCAACATCATCATTTGAGTGAACTTCACATGAGAGTGCATCACCTAGATTGGAGGGGTGTAGGTTGTACACCACCTAGATTGTGCATCACCTAGATTGGTTAATTCAGTTTAAAGCATGTCCTATGTAGGAACAAGCTGGTACACAATCTTTTTTAAGGCTAATAATCCAAAATGTGAGCACACAACTGAAAAGTGATCCGTAATGACTTGTATATCTTTCTAGGAATGAATAACCAAGACAGTCAGTCACTAACAAACAGAAGTTCCTGGGTGAGTCCTCAATCACCCTTGTTTTTGCTTGCATCCAGTTGGGATTAAACTATCTTTCTGTCAATCCGCATTCTGAACTGAATACCTATATTAAATTCAGGCAACAGCTAGTAGCTTGGCAGTTAAGACATTAAAATTGTGGGTGTGAGGATGCAGCCTTACTTTACACCATTTGTTACTGAAAATGGATTGGAGGCATCATGCTTGTCATTGTCCCATCATAATATTGTCTATTACAGCAAACTTGTTGGGGCATCCAAGAGAAGCGTTCGTAAGCCTTCTCTGCTGCCAGCGTTAACTGTGTTTTTAAGATCAACAGAGATACAGTAGAGGTCAATATCCTGTTTTCTGCATTTCTCTTTATATTTGCTGTGTAAAGATCCTACCTGTTGTGCCTCTCCCTTCTCTGAAATTGCTTTGGTTATACGACAAATGTTTCTCAGCTTTATGGCAACTAAAGTCCATCCAGTAGTAAAACAAACTCCAGGTTCTGTTATCTTCTTTGGACTGATCACTCCAAAAGAAATGTAGGCCATCCCAGACTCCGTAGGTTGACCTTCTCCTGTAAGGCAATTTTCACTTAGCACTAGTGTGTGGTTTCTATAGATGCTTGATTTTCTGCTAATCAGTGCAGTTCATTCTGGCTTAAGTGTCACTGTAAGTGTGTGTATGTTCTGGATCACTTTGTTCAGAGAGGTAAATTTGGCTTTATTTTCACTGGGATACTTATCAGCTGTACAGGCTGACCAGAATACATTCAAAGCAGGCAGCAATTAGGTCATTTTTCTAGCCCCTTCGTCGGACCATAGACGTGAGTAGTGCAGTTCTAAAAAGCTAGCTAGGAAGGTTATTTACAGCCTTTCCTAAAACAACAGTATTAAAAAGGGCTGGTCGGTGTTCTATGGGGGGCTGCTAACTCCACTGCTCCCTGATCCAGCCAAAAAAACCTAACCCCCACAACTGTCCATAGGTTTGCAACTGAAACTCCCAACTGCATTTTTACCTGCACCTTGCCTAACCCTGAAGACTTTCACAAGATGCAGAAAGTTTGCACAAGGTGAGAAGAACTGCAACTACCTATGATTTGTGCTCAGCCGACCTAACGCTTCCAGTGTTGCTCATCAAGGCCCAGCGACAGGAGAGAGGACACAGTCAAATGTCTATAAACTTAATTATGCAAGAGGCAAGAATTTCTTAGAGTGATAGTTTTTCCTGGAGCAATTATGTAGTTGGCATAAAGTTAGATGAGCTTTCAAACGCAAGATATTCTTCCTCGGGTCTTGAAAGCTGGTCTAACTTTATTTTAACCCAACTGGCTGATCCAATAAGAGCGATCGTTCTAAGAAATCCTTGCTTCTAGCAGACCCTCCGGGCTACGACATCACTCTTGCGCTTTTAGCCACACTTTTAGCTTCTCTCATTTCTTGGAGTCTCAGTCCAGCATAGATAGACTCCCTGTGCTGGAAGAAGGGTGAATGCAACCGAAAGCTTGCCAAAAACTTTTTTCCAACTACTCAGTTGGTCTAATAAAAGATGCCGCATCTACCCAAAGAACCTTGCCGGTCTTTTGCACTACCATAAACTTAATTCAAAGTGAGAAAGTACTGCCTCCTGCTGCCACGGGTCCCTCCAGACTGTGCAGTGGCTGACTTAGGGGATCTGAAAAGCAGAGCATGCACAAGTAAGGACGCAGCTTCCTCCATGTAAGCCTCCCTTGGGCAGAGCATGCGAAACGGGCTTAGCAAAAGGTCTACTCGATTGCTCTAACATCGATTGATTGAGTCTGGCGGGGGAGGGGGCGCTCCAAGCCATTCAGCTCGCTCCTTCGCATCTCGCTCGGCTTATTTCCCCTTGGAGGCTGTGCTATTGGCCAGGTCTGCTTCCAAAATGGCGGCCAACGCGACGACCAACCCGTCACAGCTCCTGCCGCTCGGTGAGTGGGTTCCCGCTAGGGTCTAGCGGAGGGGGGAGGAAGCAAAGGCTCTGGTTTCCGCGGGCTCTGGGTGCGTGGGGAGCGCTAGTGCTGGCTACAGTGATGGATGGATTGGGGGAGGGGACGAAGCGCGAGAACTGTTAGACCGTTTGCGGGACGCGGCTGGGGGAGGGGAGTCACGTGAGACTGCGCCTGCGCTGCGATCGCGGCTCTCCCTCCCGGCGTGGGTGGAACGATGATGACGTACGTCGTACGTGGAGTGCGCAGGCTTGGTGGGGGTGGAGAGTGTTAGGTGACGCGTGGGAGGGCCGATGCTGCAGCAGGGTGGGGTGGGGACTCTCTGGCTGTCACTGGACCGGCCACAGGGTTGTTGCGTGTGTGGAAGCGCTACTTCAGCGGCCCGTTGGCTGTCTGCAGCTGCTTGGTCACTGTTTATGCTGTGCTCATTACTCTGCACTAGTGGCCAGGCCACTTATTGCACACTTCACCCATGAGTTGTGCAGTATAGGTAACGCGTAGATGGGGCCACGTAAGGATGCAGCTCCCCTCTGGAAGATGTCTGTCCAAAGGCGTTTTGGCCTGTCAAAGGTTCCCTCCCATATGCTTCTCTTACAGAGGCAGGAGGGAAAAACGGAGCTCCCAAACCATCCTGTTCTTCCCTAGCTAAAATTCTGCTGTCCCAAAGATTTTTAAAAATGTGGATTATACCTTCTAAGAATGTATTATTTAATTTATCTATCTTTGTTAATGGCAGTACTGCTCAACCTTGGGGCCCTCAACCTTTGGGGCTTCCAGGCCGGATGCTGCGTGGGGTGGTTGTTTTGGACTGGCTGCATGCCAGCCTGACCTCTGTCTACCCACTCTGGCCATGGGCTGGCCTGACCCCACATGCCTAATCTAGCCGTGCACAGGCTCAGCCCTGCACGCAGAGCCACAGCATCCAGCTTGCCAGGCTTTTCCCAGGTCTGGAACCTTAGCAGTAGGAAAGGGGCTGCTAACACTGCCACTGCTCCAAATTTTGGGGCCTGTGCAAAGACCTATGTGCCAGATGACATTACCTCATGGGCTGGTGGTTGAGCATCACTGGTTAATAGGATGTAGAAAAAAATGTAAAGATTAAATGTAAACATAAACACTATGTGAATTGTTATTTAGATTTCTATCCAGCTGGATTTGGAAAGTGCTTAGCATGTTGGGTACTGTTGAAATTGATTATCATTAATAGTAATATTACTAAAACTTCATTCCAAAGTGGGCTCGCTAGGGTTATATAGTACTCGGTATGCCCTTGTGTTGTGTGTATAACAGTGGATATCCAAACAAAAGCTATTTTTATATGTATTGGTCTGTCAATGTTTCTGGCATTCTGTTTGAATGTGCACTTGTTTATCCTCACATTCTGTAAAAGGTGAACATTAAAAATAGATGTCCATTTATTCCGTGTGATGACAAATGCTTTTAAATTTGCAGAGCTTGTGGACAAATGTATAGGCTCACGTATTCACATTGTGATGAAGAGTGATAAAGAAATTGTTGGCACGCTCCTAGGGTTTGATGACTTTGTCAGTATCCTTTACATGAAACATTTTCAAGGTATCAGTTTTTGTGCTTATGCCTCTTCAATGCCTGTACATGTGTTTTAAGTTCTTTCCAACCTCCAAACATTTTTGCACTGACAAATATGATACTTGAAGTTGGAAATAAAAAAGGCATGGCTTTTGTTATGAAATGAAAATAAACTTCAGTTTAATAACTTTGTTTTCTGTAGTTTTATTCCTTGATCCTAGACTTCAGACATGGTTTTAGAGGATGTTACAGAATTGTAAGTATTATGTCTTTCTTGGCTATTTTAACTTTGTTTTCACATGCCGAAAAATTCTAACAAAAGAATATACACTGATTTCTGGAAAGCAGAATTCCTATTTGGAGGAGGATGGCGGGGCATGAGGCTTCATGAGTCTGGTGTGTGTGGTGGAGGGAGGTGGGGGAAGATCCTCAAGAAAGTACTCGCTGTCACAATGCCCTATAGAGCACTGTGGGAAGATGGAGAACCCAGACATCTCCTGTCATGCTCTGCAGAGCATGCCACTGTAGTAGAAAGTGCTTATGGAAATAATCTTGTTGGAAACAAGTACTATTGAGGGTTCCACTCTTAATGTACTTAAAAAAAAAAAAAAAAAAAAAAAGTACATGCCTGTTTGGCTTGCTCTTCAAAGATAATTGAAGCATCTCAAACATTACCTCTGTCCGCACCCCTAAGCCTCAGTTTGAAAGTGTATATATTACTGTCCAGTAATTTTTCAGTCACCTCTTAAATGACTATATTAGGAGCGTACAGCTTAGGATCCACAGGCAATGCTTATCAATTTATCCTAAAAACTACTCCTGAAGAAAGAGAAAAAATTAAATATAAACCTTTCTCCCCCCAGTTGTTTGTTTTTTCCATATTTGACTGTGTCATTTGACAGTTAGTTATTATTCAAGCTAGGGCATTGTCTGAAGATCATTAACTCTGGGGCATGCCATTTTGAAAGTTTTATGTCCTTCTGCTCTTGAACATGTTAGGATTTTGGTATGTGACTAGAAGGGTGAGGAAGATTGGCCAGCCTTGAACTGTGCATTTCTGGTGGAAAAGTCAGTGATTGAGCATGGATACCTCACCAGTATCAATGCTATGTTCGTTCTGCTGTGGTTGAGAGGAGGCTTTTGTCTTGGCATTTTTTTCCTAGATGGTAGCTGTATGTACCCTGCCAGCTACTGTGTAGTGTAGAGATCCCTAACTTAGTGTTAAACAAGTTACCTTGGGTACCTGAACCAGTGTACTCATGGCACCAGTGAGCTCTTCTTACCCTGCTGAAAGTACTGTTGACATTCCTTAGTGTTTGCTACAGAAAAGAGTTTCTGTAACTGACGTGCTTAAATGGAGTAAAAAGTCCTAGTGTCCTGAAGAAAGTCACATTGTGCCCACAGGCTTCTTTTCCAATTTTACGATTGATCCGGTAAAAGGTATCCCCCAAAATTCTGTTGGGTCTCACATAGTGCAAATAAAGCAGTATGCAGGCCTTTTTTTATATGCATTAGCATGTTTAGATTATAGAGGGCATTTTGGCCTGCTTTGTTGCCAATGACATGGTTGCTAAATCTTGTGAAACTAAGTTACCTTGAATTGGACACTTCATGCTTTTTTCTAAATTGAGGATAGAACCTTGTGGAATAGCTGTCACATGCCTTGGCACATGAACTTTTTAAAGTGTTTTCCTACTTAACAGCTTTGACTTTCCCCTGATCTCCACATTAGATAACCCACTAAGCTTAGTATTTTTAATTCTGTCTGCATGTCAAAAAACAATGATCAGAATCTAGGATAAGGAATGTTTTGTTGTGTGTCCTTGCAAGCTTATATAGCATGCCATTGAGAGTGTTGAGAGTGGTTAGCTTATAAAACTTTATCTGTTGAATTCTTTTTTTTCTGAATTGAACAGAAAAACAAAGAACATCGTAATGTTAGGTCCTTAGAACACACAGCGGACCTGTACCAAAATGTATAGTGTTGCTTGACTAAAATATTTGTTAAGTAGCTGACTTCAATACAGAGCCGTAAACTTCACTACAATTCTTATCGCGTATTCTTGGTTCTCTTAAACTCTTATTTACTCAGTCTTTTTGTTCCTAATGTTCATTTAGTGAAATTACACCTGAAGGAAGAAGAATTACAAAACTAGATCAGATTTTGTTAAATGGAAACAACATAACAATGGTAAGTTCTGGAAAAAAAAATTTTACCTTAGCATATGGACAAGTCAGTTGAAAAATTCCCTTGAGTAAAATAGAACTTCTTTTTTCATTTTTGCTAACTTTTTAAAACTGGTGCTCTAGACAGATTAGATACAGTTCATACTGTAGTTCAAGTAGTTACAGACTTAAAAAGTGATTGCTGGACAAGTGTAATGGTACCATTTCAAAACCAGAGGGGAAAAAACCAGAAGTGTGAAGTCAGTTGTAATGAACTAAAATCATAAGGCTGCTGATGCATGTTTCAGTTTGGACCTGCAATAATGTGGTATTATACAGATTTGGTTACAAAGAAGAATGCTAGGGCTTACAAAGGTAGATGGAAACAAACTTCTACTTGGAGTTACTGCTATTTATTAAAAAAAAAAAGAAAAAAAAGGCATGCTTATTGCATACCTGTTCTTAATAATCTGAATATTCATATCAACAAAATGACAAAGATGGCAAAACTTCTAGCCATTTCTTTTATAGCTACCCCTTTTTATTTTGTGTTTGAAGTTACATTTGTTGGCTTCTCTTTCTTGAGGCATATTGAAGCATATGCTTATCTGTTGACAATAGTACCAACTTGGATTCCTTCTACAGCAGTAGTGCCCAACTCATCTGGCCCCATGGGTCCAGATCCAGTCCACAGGTCAGATCTGGAGTGCAAAGCTGTGTAATCTGGCCCCTGGGGCTGGAATTTGGTGGTATCGCTAATTAATGTGATTCTCAGAGCTATAGCAGCAGTTCTTCTTCCCACCTCCAAATTCCCAGCCCCATGGAGATCTCCAGAGGCCAGATGACAAGGCTCCATATCCTGAATCCTGCCTGTGGGGCTCCCCACACGTCCAGAAATTTGATGGTAGGACTAGTGGCAGCAGCATTAATTGCCATGGTGCCCTGAGACCCTTGTGGAGCTCCATTTGCTGGATCTTGGTCACCCGTGCTCTCAAGCAAGGGGAAAATATAGCATGTTTAGTCAGGAGTGACTGGTTAATTAAAATATATCAAATGAGAAGACTGGAACCATTTAAAAAACCATTCACTCTTAAGAAAATATTTACTATTTCCAGTTACTGTGTGGTTTGCTCAAGAACAAGTCAGTCATGGTAAGAATGCCAAGTACAGTGTGGAAAATAAAAGGAGTAAGAGTTTGAAAACACAGGAACATTTCATTATCTGAAAACAAAAGCTACATCATTCTTCATTTGATCTGATCCTGTGACTGCTTTTCTTGGGAGTAGAGTTGATAGCAATTTGATTCAGTTACCTAGGAGCACACATGTGAAATTGTGTTCTAGCATGACTTCAAACTTGCTCTTTCCTAAGCGTGTTGTGGTTAACTGTGTCACATTCTGACAATTCTTGCACAAGGCTTGAAATGAAATATGAACATTTTTCATACTGTCTCTTCATACACAATTGTCTTTTTGTTTTATAGCTGGTTCCGGGAGGAGAAGGACCTGAAGTATAAACTGCTGTGTTTCTCTCTGAAGACTCTTGTTATGTGTTGTTCAATGGGGCATTTTGGGGTTTTTTTACATTTAATGTTGATATTTGATAAAAAGTAAATATTTCCTTTTCAGGGAAGATGCATAGTTAATGCTGACTTTGTAAGTTAAATAATGACTCTTTTTGTACAGACGTATTGATATGCTGTTCTGAATAAAAGATATTTTCTTTTTGTTAAATATGGTGGTTGGTTGTCTAATATTACTGTATTAGAAAAAATGCCTGCAGTTAAAAAGAAATCGGGGAATCAAAATTGATGGACACAATTTGTTGTAACTGCTCCATGCATAAGAAAATAATAGCTTTTTTGCTCAAACCAGTCAGTCAGCCATTATTTTAAATTTTCTGTTTCACATCTTACATGCTATTCTGTAATGTGGGCATAACATAACATAAAACCTGAGCTAAAATCTCATTCCTTTGAAGTAAGAGTTGGAGACTAGACAGTTATTTTTATCTAAATAATACTTTCATCAAGTACATGCATTCATTCTTATCATCCACACAGGAGTTGTATCACCCAGCATATGTAATGACGCTCCAACAGGAACTCGGCTGGTTTTTTTTAGAAATTGAACCAAAATTTGTGTCCGTGGGTCAAAGACCAGTTTTATTGGCTTATGGCTCTACTATCCTTTGGCTTTTAGTATCTTTTGTCATCTTTTTTGGAAATACATTTCTTTTTCTTGTTAAGAAAAAAAAAATTGTAATCTTGTGGTCAAAAGAAAGCAAGGGGATATCAACACTATATATTGTTCAGGAATAAAAAAAAAAAGTAGTTTTGGAGCTTCCCACTCACATGGGTGGGAGACTGCACTTCTGCCACTAAGTGGTGCTATTTGTACTTGAATAAATTGGGATTGTGCTATGCCTCGCTTACATGGTTCAAAATACCCCTCCTTCCATAAGAAATATAACTTCCTGTCTTTTGATTTTTTTTTTTCTCCATGATCCAGAGGGTGACCCAGATCACAGGAGGGGGTTTTCTTGCTTTAGAAAAGTTCTAAATTAGGAAGTGGTGCATTCTTAATATAAAATGGAAAATGGAGTCTGGTTCTGAAGCGGATCCATTGCAGCTTGTTTTTCTTCTTTGGTAGTCTCAATATTAACTATTTTCTTTGAAGAAGAATCACAGATCTCTTGTTGCCTACAGAGATGCATTGGGGCAATTTTGTGGGTTAAACAAATGCATCACCAAAAGTGTGAAGGAGAATAGGGAAAGGGACTCGGGAGAGACCTAGGGTGGAGAGAAATTGTTCTCTGAAATAGGCCAAAGCAAACTGTATTGTCCAACTTTATTTGATTGAGGAAGCTACACTTTATACCAGAACTTCAACTGAAGTAAAATGAAGATTTTTTTTTTTTTAATTTTCTTTCTCTCTAAAGAAGAGCGCTTTCTTTTAAGACCAGGAGCTTAAGGGATATGCTCTGAGTGTCAACCCTGCTTGAATTGGCCTGTTACAGGTAATCTGAATGAATTCACCAAATGGCTTCCCATGCCCATCCTTAGCCTTTCCTGTAATTAGGGATACATTCTTTTAACAGTCTTAAGATAGAAATATGATGCTCTAATTAACTGAAGTCACTTTTGTTCATTAGAAATTGATTAGGTTCACTAAAACAGTGCTGGCTTCCAGCTAGTAAAACTGAGGTTTTTTGTTACCATCATTTTATCTCACCCTCCATCCTTTTGAAAGATAACTTACTGCAAAAAGTACCTCTCCACTAGACCTCACTTGGAAATGTGACTACACTTTTGTCCCAAAGTACCTATTTTTTCACAAAAACTTTAAGCTATTAACTTCTATTAAATTGTTTCATGAAATTAAATTCCAAAAGTTTTATTATATAGTATAGCATGTTAACAGCATGAAATATAGAGTTCCTTAGTTTGGATCCATCTCTCTTAGACTCAACCTCTGAAACCAGAACAGTGGGACAGAGGCATGTTGTGAAGTATTGATCCAAAATATAATATTAATAGCTGGCTTCACACTTACCTTTATTTTACTTGCTGTTTGGATATGTGAGCCATTTATTCAGTATGTGAACATAGTTTGCAAGAACAAGTTGCCAAAATTGGATTCATAAAGGGAAGGACAAGCAATATTTAGTTCTTTTGTCAGAAGAGGAGTAAAATGTATGTCCTTTTATTCTCTACAGGGTTTACCTGTTATCCCTAGAATAAAATCTGGTATTGTCTCTTACTTTTGCTGTGATAACTACTACTTATCTACAAAGAAGAAGTGCTAATACTTCTCATGGGAAGAAATTGGGTGCATAACTCCTTGAAGGCTGTATATATTGCTTTTTAATAGCATCTGGCTGGAAAACACATTTCACAAAAGGCAAGGAGAAAATGTTAGTTTGTGCTAAAGAAATCTAAAGTAGTTCATGCATTGGTTTTATTTTTTCAGCTATCTTGCTCACTACTTATACCACTTGCTAATTAAGAAACAAACTGCTGTGTTGGGTTCTGTAGAAAGCTAATGTTTATTCACATTGCTGCTGTTCTGGCCTTCAAGATTTGTCACAGAGTTGCTTTGTAGAATACTGTTAGGTTTTTACCATACCATAGAGAGAGAGAGATGAACTAAAATAAAATGAGCCATAGCAGGTGCGCGATGTTGATAGCGGTTTCAAAATGCTAGTTAGAACTGGTCCAAAATATATTTCTGCAGTAAGAGTTGTCTGAGTTGCTGTGACTACAGTTCTATGGAAACAGGCAACTTCCCTTATCAGCATGTGCTGCGGGAATCCCCTAACAATGAAATGTTTGCTTTATAAAATAAGATATAGAGGCAAGTCCTGGTCCCATTGTGGTCAATTGCAGCATTTGTATTGACTTCACTGGCTACTAGTATTTTTGATATTTGGGATTTGGAAACTAGAAGTATGGTGAACAAGTCCTTAAAGAAATGATTTTGTCTGCTAGTCCAATCATGCTATGATTATTTTACTTTGAGAGCTATTTACAATATTTTGGGAGTCAAAGAAAAGCCTTGTCCTAAAACGAGCTGAAGTTGACCAAAACTGTTCCCTATCAGTAGTAGAGAAAATACAATCATCTCTTCTCAGCTTCATGGAATTCTAACTAGAATGCAAGACTATTATTTTCTCTCACAGTATTTTTGCTTTGACATGTTAACTGGTGAAATTTTTACACGTACAAGAGCAATGCTATAAATCTCTTCTTACACATTAGGGTATATTTTTCACTGATTTGTCTATATCTTGTCAAGAAGTTATGGTGTATGAATTGTTATTTGTTGCCATTGATGACACGGGTTATAGTTTAACATTTGTTCCTGAGAATAGTCTAGTCTTGTAATTCAATGCATCTCCTTCTGATAACTTTAAAGCTTCAGCAGATCTTAGCATTTGCTGTTCTTTTATGAATTTTTAGAGTGAATGACCCAACATTTATGATATTCATAGAGAATGGCTTTAATTTCTTGTAAAGAAAACAGTGCGAGATTTAGAAGTGTTCTTGTAATTGAGTAAAATACAACAGTGGAAACTTAATGGCCTTGTCTGAGTTTGAGACCTGTTTAACCCTTTATACACAGTTAATTCCAAACGTTGAAAAATGTGCCTATGCATATCATTTGTGAATTTTTAACTACAGAGGGTTTGGTTTATTAGTGATTTAAAATGGGCTTTCTTGCTTCTTATCATTAATACTTTCCATAGGTATTGTACTACTTTAGTTAAGTTGCTATACTCTTACTGCTCTTCACTGTTCATTACCTATAGGTAAGCATGCAGTAAGAGTTTGTGCTTAAACCAATTATTTAGGGGCAGTTTTTTAAAAGTTCCACCATGTGTGAGCATTGAAAATTGTGCCTGTAAGTTTTTGGTGTGCTGATCAGCTTTGCCTTTAATGGAACTATGCTGATTTTAAAATGCCTGAATTTTATTTGTACAGTTGAGTCTGTTTGGTTCTTATGCTGTACCCAATACTGTATTATCTGAAATGTGGCAATTGCCTTCCGTAAATGAACAATATCTTCATGACAAAAATAAAATGACCCAATTTAGTTTCTGTTATTTGTAATGATGCTCAAGATACAAAGATCTTGTCCTGACTTTCAGGCTATGGTGAGTTCATAGAACGGAGTTAGGAAAATCATCTTCCAGATGCAATTTGTTTTGCCTGCAAGTAAGATATGACTAGTAACAGCATTTTGGGAGTCAGTGTTCCCTATTTCAGTGCTTTCCAGAGCAAACGTTGTTCAATTTACAGTTAAAATCATTTTACCAACTGTTAGCCCCACAGATTAACTACCAACTTTGAGAGTTAACAGGGGTTATTTTTACCTTGAGTACTATTACTAGTGATAAACGTGCTGCAAGACAAATTACAATCTGTGTGTGATAAAGCAGAAACTGCAACCTTTTCATCTTAGAAACTTACTAAATTTAGGTGGTTTTCTATGAATATCAATAATATAAAGAAAAAAAGTATTGCTGCTGGAGTAACCTGAAAAAAACCCTAAGAGCCACACACACAATGGCGTTTATGATGCAAAAGTTCTGCCCAACTGAGGTTGTGGTTATATATACCATCTTTTGATTTGCAAATCTTTTCCTAGAAGTCGGTATGAAACAAAACAGATACAGTTCATGATACAGAAACTTGGTTCATTTGTTGTATAATATTAACCTTAACATTTTAACCAAGAGTTATAAAACTTTCTGTTTATAGATGACAACTAGTGCAGCTGAGATACTTGGATACTTTAGTATTGGGAACAATACAAGAATTCAGTGTTGGGGTAAGTCTGTAATTTACATCAACTGAAGTTCTGTCTCAGATTGAAACACAGAATGCATCGAAATACATTGGCTATAAACATTTATTTCCAGAGTATCTTATGAAGAGTTAAAAAGTGCCAGCATTTGACCTTTAGTTTCTACACTGCCTTTTCTATGCTTTAGGCTCAGGTTCAAACATTTTTATTGGGAAAACAAAGCACTCTAATTAAAATCTTCATTCAGTGATCTGCTCAACACTTACTGAGATCACATTGAAGTTAGGCCCCTGACTTCCTGAATTACCTCTACAGATTATTTTTTCTGCTAAACCTGGCAAGTCAACTGTGTGTGTATGTATACGCAATAACACATGACAAGTAACCAGGCAACTGCATGCTCCAGATGCGGTGGGAGACACAA